ACCAACCCGAACAAATCTAAACTTATTCTAAAATTTTATGCTATTCCCGGCATTTTTTGCTTTCATTTAATAAAATTAAACAAAATGTAAAAATGATGGCGTTTGACTTTGTTGCAGTTTTTTATCTCACCCTATACTCTTCACAAGCAACGACCGATAAATGGAGTCATGTTGAATTTCTACTTTACAATAAACACAATAGACCACCAGTTTATCAAATGGGGCAACTTCGCTTCCCCATAATGTAACCTAGAATATAATTTGATTAGTTTACAAAAATTATTCAAAGGTATTTTTCAATGAAACATAAATTATCCGAATTTGATTGGATTTGATAATTTCACACTTTCAAAATGCGCCAACCAACACCAACGATCATCTCCTCCCATAAACAATTTATTTTTATGCCCTTTAATTACCAAGAAAGAAAAACATAAATTTACACAACATTTTCCCGCTAAAATGACAACACTGTCCGGTGTGTCACGTAGCATACGATTTTTCATGGCTATGGCCCTTTGTGTGTTCACTGATGTTATTTCTCTTTTGATTGTTCTTTTCACTATTTATTTTTTCAATTATTTGGAACAAACCACACTTCGATGTTTAAATAGAATTAAAAAAAGAAGTAATTTTGATCTGAACACATTTAATTAATGTTCATCAAAGAGAAAAAAGAAAGTAAAACATCAAAACTATCTATCGTTTGAGTGATCGAATGGTGGTGTTAGAAATAACAGCTGATAATTGTTTACTTTGTGTTTTGTTTACATTTGTGTCATAGACATTACCGCTGCATCACACACACAGAGCACACAACCATTAATCTGAGAAAGAGATGGGGAAAATACTCGTTTTCTCTTATTCTCATGAGAGGAGTTGCATTATTGACCCAACTACATATGTTCAGGGTATTTTTCACACCATCCCACTTTTTAGAAGAAAGAAAAACATATTGTTTATAGTTTATTGCTTAAAAAGAAATTGTTCATATTTTTGGGTGAAAAGATAAACGAATTATCTTTTGGGTGTTCCAATAAGAAGGGGAATGAAGTGTGCTGGAAGAATTAGGTATTCATTGAAATTACACACAATGGTATTAACAGTGCATGGAAGGCAATCTTCGAAATAAAAGGCAAAGAAAATGCAAATTAACCAAAAACTACTTAGAACGTATAGATATATTTATTATTTACATATGCAGGTGTATTTTGTAGCCTATGGAAATTGAGGAACTGTTGTTGAGGCATCGATTTAAATTTAGATTCTATTTCACAGAAAACCACTTTACTGGGGAATTGAAAGAGCGGTGTGTTCGCGCACAGAAGATATTGTTATAATAAAATGAATATATAGCATTGGAGGTATTGGAAATCAACTGTAGTGTTCCAACTTTTTCAGAAGTAATATCTTTTAATATTATCCTGTCTGAACTATCAGAACATCGAAAAATCGCATATTGAGTGCATAAAAAAATTAGTTCGAAATGTTAGACTACAATATCTTGGAATGTCTGCGTAAAAATTACAAGTTTTAGACACAAGTCAAAAACATAATCCTGTTGGATGATTATTTTAAACCTGGGTTACCAACAAATGACCTGAAAGTATTTTGCTGCGACAAATAACAGGTCAGAGAAAAATATCGGTTTTCTCCAAGTGCAAAACGATGGGTTTATTAGCTTGTCAACTCATATTGTCAAGATTACTATGCTATGAGTCTTTTGGAAAATCTTGATGATATTTGGAAATAGTGTTGCTGAGTTATATTTGATATATTTCGCCGAATATCGTTGGTACGGAGTGCATATTAAGGCCATGGAGGATGAAAATAGCAAATCGGATGGATAATATATATGGGAGCTATAACTATATCTTATCCGATTTTCACCAAAGGCAAATCGGACGAAGATATATATGAGAGCTATATCTTTCATATATTTTTGAACGATTATCTCAAATTTAAATAGGGTTCGCTCTGGGTCAAACAAATGATTTGTGCACAATTTCATCTCTTTTCGCATTCTTCAATAGATGCGACCTGTACTTGTGCAAAGACACATTGTTCGAAAGATACATTGACAAACGGATGGACATTCATAAATCAACTCAGAACTATGGGTCTATCGAGCTTCCTTCTTTATGTTACAAAAAATGCACAAAGACAAATACCCTGACCACAATGTATTGTAGGGTATAATTAGTCTATATTGCATTAAGTAAGAAATGGAATATGTATCGCTCTATTCCACAAATGCAGACTACGCTGGCGCCACATAATTTACATGCGACCAGCCTTTTCCTTTGTAAGGGGTCAACAAATTTTCTTATCACCACTCCAAGTGCTGGCATGTTTCTTCATTTAATTTTGAAGCAAATAAACTGAATTGAATAAACCGCAGATTTGTTGACTAGAATTCTATCATTTCACTTAGTTTAATATTACTCAGATGGAGAAAAATTAGGCAGAAATATGTACATGTAGATATGCAGACTTTCACTTGTCCGAATTTGACAACATTATAGTGAAATCATATGCACACATGGCGATCCTTAACAGGTCCACGATGAGTCAACAGGTCCACGAAAAATTATTTTTTTTTTGGAAGGAGGGAACCACTGAAGGTTGAACAGTTTTTAATGAATAACCGGGCTTGATAAAGTCTTAGACTTTTTGTTTTTGTGTGACACACAAGACTGACGTCAACAAGCAGGGTGAGATGAAAAAAACTGGAACCAACTTCAGACTGCTGTCATTTCTAAACAACCCGCCCGACAGCTGTTAAGATAATTCCAGTGACAGCTCATTATATTGTTTACAAGCGTAAAAAAAAACATTTTGGTGAGAATTTTCCAGAAAAAAATTTATTCGTGATGAAATTCAAGCGTGATTGTGTGCGTTTATATTTGGCTGGAAAACCACAAGTGGCTATCGTTAGAGTACTCTAGCATTTAAATGTGAATAAATCGTTTGTGTCTCGTACCATCGCTCGTTACCATAAAAAAATGTGGACCTTCGATTGGCCACCAGAACTCAAGCGCCGGCCATGGTGATGGTGTGGGCCGCCATAACAGCCGATGGTCGCTCTCCGCTCGTATTAATCGACCGTAACCTCAGAATAAATGCCGAATATTATCGCGAAAATATTCTGGAGGGTGTATTAAAGCTTTGCGCACTCAAACATTTTGACCGCAGACCTTGGACATTTCAACAGGACTCAGCACGATCGCACTCAGCACGCGCCACCCAATAATGGTTACAAAATGAGATTCCTCGCTTCGTTTCCAGCGCACAATGGCCACCAAAATCTCCGGATACCAATCCGTTGGACTATTTTGTCTGGAGTATTTTAGGAAGCAAGGTTGGCACTAAAAAATACCAAAGTGCTGATAACTTGGGCCAAAGTACGGCAGATGATCACAATGGACCACTAGGTCTCCGAGTGGAGTGGTTGTTTTTTTTTATGCAACCACACATCCTTTAACCTAACCTAACCTAACGGCAGAGCAACATTCGGGCAGCGTGTGGGATTCATTGGTCGTTTGAAAGCCATAATTCGTGGCAAAGATGACCAACTCGAACAAATCTAAACTTATTCTAAAATTTGATGCTATTTCAAACATTTTTTGCTTTAATTCAATAAAATTTAAAAAAAAAATAAATTATGGCGTTTGACTTTGTTGCATTTTTTATCTCACCGCGTAAACTAGTATACCTTCAATATTAAAATATATTCCTATAATTATATTAAAAATGTCTACATTTAATAAAGATTTCAAATCGATCCGTGTTCACCACCTATATTTGCTCCTCAAAATGTTTTAAAATTTAAAAACCAAGATCAAAAATAGATCAGAAGTGTCCGAGCATATTGACAACCGTTTCGGTCGTTGCACAACCTTTTGCCAAAATATTCTGAAGTCGACAGATTTCAGTATTATATGCACTTGGCAAAAATTGTCATTCTTATTAGATTTATCCTTTCGATATAATTCCTAAATATTTTACCATACGAAGAAATGGAGATTGGCTCCTTATCAAATGTCGGTCAACGTTCCCTTTGGATTGCTGGGTAGTCACATCAACACAGCAGCTGGGACAATGAACTGTCGAATTATTATTGAAATTTTTAAAAACTTTTAAAAAATGCATATCATAATTACCTCCGATTAGCTTCGTATAAGAAAACATATAAATATCTACTTATTTTTGACAAAAAAAAATATTTTTGACAATGACATATCAATATTCCCAAACGTTTATGCATTTTACCATGCCAGCTAGTAAACAAATAGAAGACATTTTTAAAAACATGTTTGACTTCTCACAACTTCTCACGACTTCTCGGGCATGTCCTTTACTTTTCTAAGTCGCTAGGTTGTCTCGATAAAAGGGTTAAAAAATCAAGTCAGGAAAATATATTCATTGCTCAATCAGGTAAAACATGGGATTTTCAGCCCGCCCAGAACTTGAACTCGAACTCCATGCTCAACCAAATTATCTCAACTCGAAATCTTCAGGAGAACTTTCCTTAAACAATTTTGAACGTCCACATACGATTCCAGATCTAAAACTAGTAACTTATTCAGAAATAAGGATTACTATTAACGTAACTTAATTTTTTTTACCTCAAAAGAGTACCTAAATATATTTTCAGCGGTGTACAGCGTTAAACAGACAATAATCATAGATACAATTATGTATACATAGGTACATATGTATTTATTGTCGGTATTTATGGTGGCAGGCAAACGAAAAGGAAATGTAAACATCAAAGGAAATGTGATATATGCAGCTTCACGGATGATAGACATCAATCACAGGACGTACACACAAACAACAATAACTTGATAATACATAAATGATAAGGATTTCCATCTTTTTTTTTTTCTCGGAGGAAATGTGTTATCCTTCCTCAACACATACCTACGTACATATAGAGACATCAAAGGATAACCAAAATTATGTTATGGCCTGTATTCATTTCATATTTGACTTACCCTCAAAACCTTCCTTTTGTTTTTTAGCCTCATATTTGGCCAGAGCCAATTTAATGGCAGCCAGCTCAGTTTCCTTTAGATTTGATATTAGATCGAGAGCCCTTTCTTCGCACAGGGGATGGGAGCCCAGTGGCAAAGATTCACGGGCGGCAGTAAATTTCGAATAGCTTTGGGCGGGATAAACAAATGAGGGCGATAATGAAGGTCTATTCTTTTTGCTTAGATTGGTGCTGTTATTTTTGGATGGCGGTATTATGAATGTTGGCACATCAGCTGGGGCTGCTGAACAACAGGCTAAGGTTAATAGACTTTGTTGTTGCTGCTGTTGTTGTTGTATATGGAATTGTTGTTGTTTCTTTAGCAAAGTTCGGCCAATTTGGCTTATAACTCTTTGTGTTTTATGCATTTTGAATTAGGAATTAACTTAAAACCGATATTAAAATGAACTTGATTTGTATTTTTTTTATTTTGATTTTGGATTTTTCTGGTTTACACTTTAAATCGGCAGCGGAGCAGAAGTGTCGCCGTACAAACAAATAGTGATTTCAATAGCAACAACACAAGCGAACGACCTTTGTTATTGTTGTACGTGTTGTGTGTGTTTCTGCTTTTGTATTTATTTTTTTTTTTCTTTTTGGTATGTTTTGATTATGAATTCAATGACGTCACAATTCTTTGAACATCTTCTTATTCAATTGAATTTGTTGTTGTTTTTTTTTTCTTCTCATAAATATTCACATTGACAGACATCAATTGCAATAGATTTCACTCTCGTTTTGCTTTAAGCGCGCGTAATCATCTAATTTTTGCTGCTTATTCCATTAATATACTACGCTCCGTCGTACACACCGACCAACTCGTTCGTTTTCATTCTCGGAATCTGACTGACACAATAAAAAATTTTCTCTCCGCATTTGTTTTGTTACGTTGTCCGGCGCTGCCAGTTGTGCACAATACACGGGGATTACGTATCCACTAACTGAACAACAGCTGTGTGGTTGCTATAAAATCGACCAATCGATTGTTATTGTTATCGATATGATGTCTTTAAACTAGGTGGCAATCATAGTGCGTTAAGCACCACAAAACTAGTGTCAAAATCTAGTTAAAAAAATCGTATTTATTTTGGGATTTCGGAAAACGAAATAAAACAAAACATCTGGTGTATTTCTTTTTAAATGACAAGACTTTTACAGAATCCCAGAAAAAACTTAAAAGCATTCAGCTGCTTTGTCAAAGCAACAGGGAAATCATGCAGAAATTAAAAATGAGCCGAAAAGACAAAACAATTACGCTTGTAATTTCTAGAATAAAGATGTTTTTAAATTGCTTAACCAAAAAAAATAACCTAAGGAGTAGCAAAATTGTTCTCTCAAATCGCTCTCTTTTGCAGATCTTTTGTGTTAACAGACGACTTACGGTAACAATTTACAACAATTGTTACACATTTTAGGGTAACCAGACAAACCTAATGGTGCATTGAAAAACCTAGTATAGAGACAATTGATGTCGAAAAATGAGTGTTTATTCACATTGGTGACCATCTGCAAGGAATTAATCTTCCATTGTATTATAATAAGCAAATAAAATTTTAATAGCTTCTTCACAGAACTTTTGTTTAAGACAGACAACCAGTTGCTACCCAGACTATCAAGTTTTTATTTTATTTTTTTTTTTTTTTCATTTACGTTTCTCGTCTAGGAGCATGGTAGAAAAATACCGGTAACAGCAAGTGTTGTTGTACAACAAACATAACAATAACCACATACATATTTGCTTTTGTACTTAATTCAAGTGTCAGAGTTATATGTCCAAAAATGTTAACAAAACATTAATTTTCAAAGAATTAATATAGTTTCAAAAATGAAAAATTTTGAAATTTAGATTATAAATTTAAAAATTCAGAAGAATAGTACTTAAAATATTTTATATTAATGATTTCATATCATTCCCCTGAATACATAGTTGTTAGCTGCATTGCATTTTTATTCAAAACAATAAGGGCACCAAAAGAAAAAAATGATTTAAGTGGCAGCTTTTTTCTACCTTCTGTAATTATGCCATGGTAGAAGAATATAGGTAGACGCATCGACACAGCTGCTTGGACAATGAACTGTCAAACCAATTTTGGAATTGAAAATGTTGAATGAAAAATTATTTAAATTTGCAAAAATTGTTGAAAAACGCGGATTATAATAACCTCCGAATGACGTCGTATAAGAAAACATATAAAAATCTACTTATATTTGAAAAAAAATTACATTTTTTTGACATATCAATGCTCCCAAGCGTTGATGCATCTACCTGTATTCTTCTGCCATGGTCTGTACCAGAACTGCAAGAATGTAATACTAAGTTCACATGGCACGTGATTCGCTCTCTATTCGTTGTTCGACTATTAATTATGAAATATCTACTTGATTCCCCACACTAAATTTTCTGGGCGGACAAAGATTTTTGTTCTTTGTTCCATTCAAATCACTCTCAGAACTAAGATGAAATGTGTGTCATCCCTAACAAATGAGATCATTTATCGAAAAAAAAATTATGACATTTCAAAACTCAAAATAGAAAAATTTATTGAAATATTAAAATTTTTCAGGACGACTGAAAATTATGAATGAAAGATATAATGTTGAATGACGTATTTGCATACGCGGAGGAAAAACAATAATTTACTCTATTATTATATATGAATATCAACAAACAAAAAATTTGAAAAAAGAGAATTTTGAACGGGTTAATTTGTGTACCTAATTCCATGGTAGAAGAATACAGGTAGATGCATCAACGCTTAGGAACATTGACATGTGAATTTTTTAATGTTTTGACAAAAATAAGTAGATTTTTATATATTCTAGATCTAGATTCTATATTCTTCTACCATGCCTAATCCTGAGAGCGAACAACGTGATTGAATGTTCAATGAGAACATAGCATAACACTTTTTACTACAATAACCGATTTTTTATTATTATGATATCGAAAAAAAATTTGCAAAACTAGTAGATTCTTACAGGTTCTGGAATCAAAAATTAATTTATTTCTGGGAACAACGAATTGTTTTAGCAATCAGTAAATCTGGGGAGTTACATAGATCCATACTTACATTCCAATAGCCTCTCAAAATTCCTATATTTGTACAAATTATCGTTCCAGAACTGCAAGAATGTTAAAGTGTTTACTACGATAACCTATTTTCCTTTAAGAAATCGACAAGATTGCAAAACTAGTAGATTTTTACAGGTATTGAAACAAAGCAGTAATCATAGTACAATAGCAGGAGGTAGAATAAAGTCAAAACATATCTACCGCTATTATATTTGTGTTAGTTGCAAACAGAAAATAATTGTTCACCTTAATGGACAATTAAATGTAGAATTTGGTCTTGGATTGTATTACATTTTCTGGAATAATCCAAACAAGAAAAGCATTTGGTCTTTACCAGAACTTACTAGTTCTGCAATATTTTTTTCGATATCATGAAGGAAAATTCGGTAATCGAAATAAAAACATTTAATTTCTTGCCGTTCTGGAACGGATACATTATTTTGTGAATCTGTGTATCGACAAAATAATGTTGATGAGGGAATTTGAAATAGGCTCTGTAAAACATATGATAATTAGTCATCATAGTGATTTCTAATGACAGAACAGCAATTTTCCCTTTATGATATTGGAAAAAATTGCAAATCTAGTAGATTCTTGTAGGTTCTGGAACGGACCAAATATTATTGCAAAAGATTGAGGCTTATCCCATATTATAAATACAAAAAAACCTTTATTTATTAGTGGATAAAATTGGTAAGGTCTACCATGTATTGAGCCAGGGAATACCATGGTTTCGGAAGAAGCCACCAATCCGGACGAAAACTTTTTATTCTCAAGTGACGATTGCAAGCTCAAGAGAAGAGAAAACATACGAACAAAGAATACAAAATATCTTTGAAATTTCTTCTAAACCTTACAACCACACCTTTTAACATTTCTATCATAACATGTGAGTTGGATTCGTTGGTTACAATAGATTCATAATAACGATAAAGAGGTTAAGTTCAAATATACGTAAGTACATTATTTCTACATTAAACAAAATTGAATTAAAGTATATGAGAACATGGCATTAGTGATCACACATACCGACGAGTACCGGAAACGATTATGATTGTTATCGAAAATAATTCGATAGTTGTCAGTTTCTATGTCGTTGCATAGAGCACAGAGCATTATAACGGTCAATTTAAATTTTAAGGCACTACTTTTTAATGAAGACGAAATCAAAACAAATACCAACAAGAGAATATGGAAAGATCGACAATTCTGCATGTAATGCAACAAAATGTAAAAAAGATAGTGTTAATAAAATCAGTCTAAATGTTGAACGAATTTGCCTTGAGTCAGTTATGTATGAAATCCGACTATTTTTTACTCTTTTGAATATCATATTTTTATATTTAAGATTCACATTGTGGCTCATATTCTGAAATCCTTTATTTCTCAGGACTTTATCATTGAAACCTATTTAAAAAACATATCATTTTATTATTTCTTTATTTTATTTCGTAATGTTTTTATCTTATCGCATCTATAACACTATCAATTAAATAACTAAAATAAATTTATATTTTTTGCTTAAATCTAATCGTAGTTTATACATAAATATAAACATTATTCATTTTATGGATTATAATAATATTGGCACTTTACTTAACTAAATAAGGACAGCCTACATGTCTACACATGCACGTGTCGTCGTTTCATTCGAGTTATTTATACTTCCGATGTGAACGCTCCTATATCTCTCTAACTTATGTACAATCGTTTGCCCTTTGTCCCGGAATGCCACGCAACTCTTGATTGAGTGTACGCAGCAAAGGATGTTTGCCACATCCACAGCTGCCACGGAAATCATCCAAATCCAGAGCCCAAACCATACCACCACCTAAACGCATTTTCCGCACAAATTGCGCTTTGCGACGAATGTCGTTGACATCGTCATATGAGACCCATTGATTGCCACTGTAGGCATATGGACCAATGCGACCCTGAGGATCACGCATCACCGTCCAACCACCGTTGCTAATTTGTTCACATATCTCATAGTAGGCCAAGAAACCTCCAGCCCTGGTGTAGGTGCCAGCCCGACCGGGACCAATTGTTTTGTCATTCAGACTACGGGAATTGGTGTCGGCCAGGGAGAATGATTGACCATACAATGGCATACCCATGATAAGTTTATGCGGTGGTGTACCCTTTTCCAGCCAGTAATTGATACTGAAATTGGCATTGAAATAGGGATTGCTGTCCCCTTCAACATAGTACAAAGGAGCAACATGGCCGGTCTGTTTATCCCAATGGCCATGAAAATCATAGGTCATGACGGCAATCCAATCAAAGTAGCGTGCCAATTTGGGAACATCATAACCGGCATCAATGACCATTTTACTGGGCGAAACTGCAGCTGAGAGCAGTAGGCCCTTGGGTTTGAATGCCTCGGATAATTCACGTACCAATGAGGCAAAACCTTCTTTTTCATTGGCCGAACCCTTGGAACAATCAACCTGCCAGCACACAGGGTACTCCCAATCCAAATCCAGACCTTCAAAACCGTATTTTTCACAGAAGGCCAAGACGCTTTCAATAAAACGCCTTCTCGCCTGTGGATCCAAAACCATGCGGGCATATTTACTACCCAACGAATCGTTCCAGCCACCAATGGCCACGGTGACCTTCAAGCCTTTCTTTTTGTAAGCCACCACCCGTTCATAGAACCTGTTATCAATATCCGCCCAGGAATCATGGGTCCGAATGGTCAGGGAATTGCTGTTGAGTACCGCAAAACCGTAAACAATGTGGGTACAGAGATTCTCATCGATATCCTCGGGAACATATTTACCCTGTCCGCGACGATACCAGGCCCAATTAGTGAAGTAACACACAACCTTGTAGTCTTCATTGCTGGCTAGGGGTGGCACATATGTGGGTTTGGGATGGGTAATTGGTTTTTTACTGGGCGCTGTCACCGGTTTTTTGGTAACTTTCGGAGGAGCCTTCGTGGTGGCTGCACTGGGTCGTGGTGTGGGTTTAGGTCTATTCACCACAGGTTTTTTGGTAGTTTGATCATCGCGTATCATACATTTACTGGCCTGTGGCCAATCGCAGTAGTTTTGATTCCAATGTAGGCCAGAGGGACATCTTTCGAGGAAGAAAAAAGAAAAATTGGTTAGTGAGGGTCTCCTAGAGATCTGAAATTTTCGACTTACTTCTGTTCCACCAGTTCGCCATATTGACAGATATAGTATTTGTTGCAATCTCTTTCATGGGGAGCATAATTGCGTCCCGCACATTCCTTGGGTTTGCTGGGCGCCGCTGTGGGTTTGGCCGGTTTGTGGGCCTGAATTATAGCCTGACTCTCAACATTGGTATTGATTGTGGGCTTCGGCTTGTTGGGAGCCTGGGGAGCCATGGTCATGCCGGCAACTGAAATAAAAGTAGAATTACATTTTGAATTTTTGGAGCTTCCGAAAAACTTACTCATTGTCTTATCTTGGTCCTCCAACACACATTTGGGATGTGGTCCTGGATAGTTTCTCAATACCCTATTAATGGTCTTCAGCAGAGGATACGATTCACAGTCACAATCATTTTTAAAGTCATCCAAATCCAAGGCCCATATCATGGCACCACCCAATCCCATGGCCTTGACATATTCCGACTTGTGGCGAATCATGGGAGCATCATCGAATGACACCCACTGGTCACGCATGTAAGCATAGGGTCCCATGCGTCCACGTGGATCACGTACTACATTCCAACCCCGCTTCCTGATGTATGTACAGATTTCATAGTATGCCAGAAAACCTCGGGCCCGGGTTGCCTCTCCAGCCTCACCACCACCATATGTGGGAGCATTTAGATCATGATCACTGGCCTGGGCCAAGGAGAACGATTGGCCATACATGGGCATACCCATGACCAGTTTTTTGCGATCAGCTCCACTTTGTAGCCAATAATTGATCGAGAAGTTGGCATTGAATCCTTCAGTTCCCGCAGGATGTTCATACATGGGTGCAACATGACCAGTTTTCTTGTCCCATTGGCCATGGTAATCATAAGCCATCACAGCAATCCAATCGAAATATTTCGACAACTCTGGCACATCATAGCCGGCATCAATGACCTTCTGATTGGGTGAAACGGCTGCGGACAGCAGCAAACCCTTTGGCCTAAAGGCAATGGACAATTCTTGCACCAAATCACTGAAACCCTGCTTCTCATCCGAAGTACCCTTCTTACAATCCACCTGCCAGCATACCGGATATTCCCAATCCAAATCCAAGCCATCAAATCCATACTTCTCGATGAACTCCATGACATGGCGTACAAAGCGGGCCCTAGCTTCAGCGGAACGTACCAAACGTGAATATTTATCACCGGCCGAGTCATTCCAGCCACCAATGGCCACGGTCACCTTTATGCCCTTGGAACGATACGAGGCCACCCGTTCATAGAATTTGTTATCCAAATCGGCCCAGCTATCATGGGGTTGTATGGTCAACCGTTCACGGTTCAATACCGCAAAACCGTACACAATATGGGTACAAAGTTCGGGATCAATATCTTCGGGTAAGAATTTTCCACCACCCTGGCGATACCATGCCCAATTGGTGAAATAGCAAACTACTTTAAATTCTCCGCTATCCGAGGAGGAGGTAACCTCTTGAGAATCCCCTGGCCCCGTTCCGATGATTTCAACATCATTATCTTCTGTCTCATCATTGGGATCGAGGACATTGGACACGGTTTCAATTTCACTGGGATAGGTAATTTCCTGGGAGTTGATGATTTCCTCCACAGATTCGGGTTCCTTGACAGGGATCAGACCAGCTGGAAAGGGGATAATTTTAAAATCTAATGTTCCTTAATGAAATATTGACAACTTACGTGTGGGTTCGTAACCCGTGGGTGGATCTTTCAGTACATCATGTATCTGTGTCAGTAATGGGTGGACACCTTGACCACAACGATTACGGAAATCATCCAAATCCAATGCCCAAACCATACCACCACCCAAATCCAAAGCTCGAACCAATTGCGATTTTTTACGTATCATGGCGGGATCATCGAAGGAGACCCACTGATTACCCTTGTAGGCATAGGGACCCATGCGACCCTGTTCGTCTTGTACCACTTGCCAGCCCTGGTGTTTGATGCGATCACAAATCTACAAAAGAAAACAAATCATGTGAACCACCCTTGTATGGAGATTTCTAATGCTATGTTTACATCAATGCAATTGAAAATTTCAGAGACATCCTAAAGGTGCAGATACATAGGAATTTTTTTTTTAATGGCATAAGATGAGAACACATAGGACGCTTTTATTACTAGCTTAAGTCGTGGACGCGATTCTTCGTAAAAGAACAAAAGACCGTAGTGTGAACCAGTAAAGATTTTGGGCCAATATTGACCTAAGTCAACCTAAAACTCCTCTGTTCTTTTACAAAGAAGCCACCTGATGACTTAAGTATTCTCACCGAAAAGGCCAGCCGATTACTTGAGCCAGCTAAAAACTTCGTTCAAGGTATTCTCAAATTTAAAGGCGAGAATACATAAAACGCTTTTTTACCGGCTTCAGTCATTGCCTGGATTCTTCGGAAAAGAACAAAGAAGCGTAGAGCCAAATCGAACTAAGTCAACCTAAAACTCCAGGTTGGCTTAGTTCGATGACTTAGGCCAGTCAAAAAAGCGTTTTATGTACTCTCACCTTTAAGTCTTCGGCTGCCTTTTTCGTAAAAGAACAAAGGAGCTTTAGGTTGACTTAGCACCAGTTCGGCCAATAATTTATCCTACGAAGAAGCCAGCCGATGACTTTTTGTAACTGCCTTCAGTCATCGGCTGGATTCTTCGGAAAAGAACAAAAAAGCGTCGATACAAAATCGATCTAAGTCAACCGAAAACTCCTTTTCTCCTCTACGAAGAAGCTAGCCGATGACTAGAGCCAGCAAAAAAGAAGCGTTTTTTGTATTTTCACCTTTACAAAATTGGTTTGACAGTTCGCTTTCCCAGCAGCTGTGTCGAGATGTTTACAAAAACTCAGCTGTCTCATGAAACTTGCGTGACACTTTTCGCTGTCATCCCAATTATTTAACTCAAACTAAAAGTGAGAATACGTAAGAGGATCTTTTTCTGGTATAAGTCGCCGGCTGTTTTTTTTTTTCGTAAAAGAACTTAGGGTTCTTAGGATGACCAAATTTAAATATGCAACCACAGCTCCTCCAGCCAGTCGATATATCTTGACAGAAAAAAGTCCTCTTAGGTATTCTCACGTTTAGAAGCTTTACAAAGCGAAGGTGTCAGCACATAAAAATCTTGGCATCATGACTAGGCATTTTAATGTCAAGCTATAAGGAAAAACGACGGCAGGGGTCGTGTTCGGCTCTCACATCCCATTATGACATGCGAAGACTTTAAGCTGTTTATATACCCACACCTTAAAGCTGAAAATGCCAAAGTGGATCTAGTTTCTGGCATCAGTCAACGGCTGGTTTTTTTTTCGTAAAAGAACAAAGGGGCTTTAGGATGCCTGTATTTAAATAGCCAACCTAAACTTCTTTGTTCTTTGGTACGGAAAAGTCAGCCGATGATTTTTGCCAGAAAAAAATCCTGTAATGTATTCTCACCTTCAGATGCTCTGAATGGAAATTTTTCTTTCCCCCACTTACCTCATAGTAGGCCAAAAATCCAGCAGCTCTCGTGAATTCTCCTGCCTTGCCAGGTCCGGGAGCCTTTGAATTCAAGCCAGTGTTGCGTGTGTTTTCCAATGTAAACGATTGACCATACAACGGCATACCCATGACAATTTTCCGCGATGGAGCACCCTTGTCAATCCAATAGTTAAGGGAATAGTTCTACAATAAATCGTACAATAAATTAGCCATTCAAAAGGAAAAAAATCCCTCCCCCCTCAAAAACTTACAGCATTAAAGTAATCATAATCATCATCGGGATGATAATACAAGGGAGCCACATGACCAGTCTTCTTATCCCACTGGCCATGGAAATCATAGGTCATGACAGCAATCCAATCGAAATATTTGGCCAGTTGAGGAACATCATAACCCGCATCAATGATTTTCTTGCTAGGCGAAACCGCTGTGGACAAAAGCAATCCCCGGGGTTTAAATGCCTCCGATAGCTCTCTCACCCAGGCTGTGAAACCCTCCTTTTCATCTGGCACACCCTTATTACATTCGGTTTGCCAGCATACTGGATATTCCCAATCCAAATCTAGACCTTCAAAACCATATTTCTCCATGAATTCCAGGGCATGTTTCACAAACTTCGCACGAGCTTGGGGATTTCTAACCAAGCGACTGTACTTATCACCCTGAGAATCATTCCAGCCACCCAAAGCCAAACTGACTTTGACACCCTTGCTCTTGAGACCACTGACACGGGTATAGAAGTTATTATCAATATCGGCCCACGAATCATGGGTACGCAGTACCAATTCGGAATAGTCCAGCACGGCAAAGCCATACACAATGTGGGTACAAAGATCGGTGTTGATGTCATCGGGAGTGTAACGTCCGGCGCCCTTGCGATACCAAGCCCAATTGGTGAAATAACAGACCACTTTGTAGTAACCATCCAGGGGTTGCAGATTGGGTTTATCAGTGGGATAAGTGGGTCTCATGGTGGTCGTGGTTGTGGGTCTGGCGGTGGTGGGTGCTGGTTTTGGCTTGACGGGATTCAAGTCATTCGAACCTCCCTCATTGGATCCCTCATCAGCCGAACATTTGGCACTTGCCGGCCAATCACACATACCCGAGGCGGCATTGAAATGTAAACCCGGTCCACAATCAGCAGCTTGCAAACGATTCCAGAGACAGAACAAATACTTGGAACAATCTCCGGGGTAGGGTACCCGTTCCTCGCCATTACAGGGATCCTCAGGACTGGATTTCGATTGGACAATACGCAAATAACGTTTGGTCGTAACGCATTTTACATTTTCCGGCCAATCGCATATCTTGCGTATGGCATCCCAATGCAGATTACCGCCACAGGAGTTGGGAACCAGCACGCCATTGATGCAGATGTAGTATTGGCCACAGTTGCGATGGCTGTAGTATTCACCGTCGTTGCATTTCGCCGAGGTAGAGGGACGATTTTGCGAGGCAGACGGCTTGCGTGTGGTGGCAATGGGTTTGGTGGGCCGTGTACTGGTCCAGGATGCCGGTACCGGTCTGCGGGTAGTGCTAACTGTCGTCGTCGTGGTGGTAGGTTTGGTGCCAGGCTTGTTTGATGGTTTCGCACTGGGCTTACCTCCTGTTGTCGTGGGTTTCTTTTTGGCTGGGGTGCACTGAGCCGCCGCCGGCCAATCACAGTTCTTGCTCTTGTCATTCCAATGTAGACCTCCGGGACAGAATTGTTGCCGAACCTCTCCGGGCACAATACATTGGTAATAGCTATTGCAATTATATGAGTCGGGATAGAATTGTCCCGCTTGGCAGTTTTTAGCAGGGAATACCTGAGGTCTCACCACGGCTGGGGCTGGGATTGTGGTGGGTTTTTGGGTGGTTGCAGGTCGATTCGAGGTTGTCGTTGTGGTGGTAGGTTGCGTTGGGCGCCGCGTTGTTGTTGTGGTGGTGGTTGAGGATGGTGGTGACCACCAGATTGTGGAAGGCTTCTGCGTGGTGGTGGTTGAGGGCGATTGCCACACCGGATTGCTGGTGGTGTGATCATGCATCATACCACCTCCCGAACTAGAACCATCACTGCTAACGGTTGTCATTACCGGTGGCACTGGAGTTGCTGGCACCGCTGGCCGGCTACAGTCTGAACGTTTGGGCGGCTCTGAGTTATGTCTACCCATGGCCCGATTGATGGCCATCAGCAATGGGAAAGCCTCACTGCAGCAACGATTTTGGAAATCATCCAGGTCCACGGTCCAGGCAGCAACACCTGCAAATCCAGAGTTCACAGCATAGCGAGCCTTGGCCTCTACCGAGGCTGGATCTTCATAGCCTACCCATTGATTACGCAGCATGGCATAGGGACCCGACTTACGTTCCGGATCACGTCCCACTAACCATTTTTGTTTACGTATCCTTTGACACACCTCATAGTAGGCCAACATACCAGGTTGTTTGGTAAATTCTCCAGCCTCACCGGGTCCGGTGGCAGCCACACCTTCTCCCTGCAACTGAGAGCTGTCACGTTCCAGCGTAAAACTTTGGCCATAGAATGGTATGCCCATAATAATGCGATCCTTGCGGGCGCCCAATTTCATCAGCAATTGCATGGTGTAGTCGGTATTATATTGAGGATATTTATCCGACTTGCGTCCATATAATGGACTTACATGGCCAGTCTGTTTCTCCCAAGCTCCATGATAATCATATGACATAACTGTCATATAGTCCACAATTTTGGACAATTCTGGGAATTCATAGGCCTCGGTAATGATTTCTTTGTAACCCGATATGGCAACACCCAATTTCAATTTCTTATCGACCCGGTCAAATTCGGAGCGTATTTCTCTCAACAACTTTGTCAAATTGGGCTTATCCGATGCCGGACCCTTGGAGCAATCACTTTGCCAACATTTGGGATAATTCCAATCCAAATGGAGACCCGAGAAACCATGGCGTTGCAGGAAACCCACCAAATTTGAGGCAAAGACACGACGCTTGATATCATCCCCGGCCAAACGGGAATATTTATCACCCGCCGAATCGGTCCAGCCACCCATGGCAATAAGTACCGGAATACCAGTGGACACCACACGGCTATACAGCTGATTGTCAATATCCACCCAGGGATCGAATTCCTTGATATTCAAATGATCCGGATCCAGGGAGGCAAAAGAATATATGATCTTGGTACACAAATTCTTATTCTTCAAATACTCCGGCACAAATTGACCATCTGCCTTGCGATAGAATGCCCAATTGGTAACGTAGCACATGACCTCCGGAGAGGAATTGAAATTCTTGTTTGGTTTCTGGGATTGTTTAATCTGGGCCAAGGCACCATAGGGTTGATCATCGCTATAACCATCGTCAGTGTCCTCCAAATCTTCCACATCATCTCGCAGACGTGAACGAGTATTCTCCAAGGCTCCATAGGCCAACAACTGTTGACGTACCTTGGCCACATCTTCCACACTTTCGGGATCTGCAATATCCGTTTCCTTAACCAATTGCTGATATGGCGAATCGGCCCGGTATGGTTGCGGCAAATCATCATTATTCGGATTGGGTATTATATAGGCAGCATATTTATCGGATACCGACCAGGCATCAGGTTCTTGAAACGTCTCAACATCCATATCCGGTTCGGGCTCAGGTTCAGTTAATTCCAAATTTTCCGGCATTGCCTCCTCCACGGAAGCATCTCGAATGCTAGCCGAATATTCCTCCTCTTCAATGTAATCATCATCATCCAAGGGAAATGATTCGACGGCATCTCGAACAAAATGCCTTAGAGGAGAGGCAGCTTCTCTTAGCTCCGCCACTGAGCGGGCATTGATCGTTGGCACACTTTCCACGGCACTGCGCAGCGGCAAGAAAACATCACCAAAACTTGGAGCCAAACTAAAGCGACTCAAAGCATCGGGATTCTCTTCTTCCGGGACACTTTCAACAGCCGAACGTAAAAATTCAGGCTTAAAGGCTGGCGCATTGTGTTCTTCGGGCGCTTCAATGCGTATGTGAGCCCATATTGGACTAGAGCAGAGTAACTGAAAGAAAGCGAATGAGAGAGAAAATTTAATACAGGAATATGAATGATACTATCGATATTTTGTACAGGGTGAGATGAAAAAACTGCAACCTTCTTTGTCTTAAGACTGCTGTCATTTCTATGTCACTCGTCCGACAGCTGTTAAAATTATTCCAGTTTCAACAGAAAGAAAATAGACTCAAAAGAGCTAAAGAGTTGCTTCGCTTGGCCGAAAGTTGTGAACTGCCGAATTTGGGTTTCTCCGATGAGAAAACATTCGTTGTCTAGCAACGAAGTGATCGTGTTTACTTGCCAAGGAGATCAGCTGAAAATGTGCACCTTCCGTTGGCCACCAGAACTAAAGCGCCGGCCATGGTGATGGTGTGGGCCGCCATAACAGCCGATTGTCACTCTCCGCTCGTAATTATAGACCGTGGCATCAGAATAAATGCCGATTATCATCGCGAAAATATTCTGGAGGGTGTATGAAAGCCTTGGGCACGCAAACATTTTGGCTGCAGACCAGAACTCAGTACTCAACACGCGCCACGCAAGAATGATTACGAAATGAGGTTGCTCGCTTCATTTCCAGCGCACAATGGCCATCAAAATCTCCGGATACCAATCCGTTGGACTATTGTGTCTGGAGTATTTTGGAAAGCCAGGTTGGAACTAAAAAATACCAAAGTGTCGATCACCTCAAGCAAGGGCTTCGCCGGGAATGGACCAAAATACCGCAGAGCAACATAATTCGTGCCAAAAGTGACCAATTCGAACAAATCTAAACTTATTCTAAAATTTGAAGCTTTTTCCGACATTTTTTGCTTTCATTCATAAAAATTTAAACAAAATGTAAAAGTTATGGCCTTTGACTTTATTGCAGTTTTTTATGTTCTGCAGTTAAATATTATGTCAAACAAGTAAAAAAGTTCTAAGTTCGGCCGGGCCGAACTTTAAATACCCTCCACCATTTGGAACGAATTTGGCAATTCTCAAAACATCTTAAAAATACCGAATAGGCTGTAGCATCCATTACGAACTTCAAATACGACATCTCAAACAATTTCGGTGAGTATTGTACCTAAAATCGTCAAAATACCGAATATAGGGAGGTACAGATATATGGGGCCTATACGAAGACGTGGTCCTGCACAGACAATGTCTCAGGCTGTAGTATCCATTTCGAACTTCAAATACCAAAATTTGAAACAATTCCGGTGAATAAAGTCTCTAAAATCATCAAAATACCGAATATCGGGAGGTACCGTTAAATAGGGGCTATACCTGCACAGACAATCTCCTGTCATAGACTGTAGCATTCATTACGAATTTCAAATACCAAATTTGAAGCAATTCCGGTGAATAATGTCGCTAAAATCATCAAAATACCGAATATAGGGAGGTACCGTCCACGAAGACGTGGATCTGCACAGACAATTTTCTGTCTTAGGCTGTAGTATCCATTCGAAATTCAAATGCCAAATTTGAAACAATTTCGGTGAATAAAGTCGCTAAAATCATCAAAATACCGAATATCGGATGGTACCGTTATATGGGGGCTATACCAAAACGTGGACCTGCAAAAATAATTTTCTGTCTCAGGTTGTAGTATCCATTTCGGACTTCAAATACCAAATTTGAAACAATTCCGGTGAATAATGTCATTTCGTTCGAAAGCTAAAGTGATTTCCTCAGACGGACGGACGTCGCTAAATCGACATAGAGTTTTATGCTGATCAAGAATATATATACTTTGTGGGGTCTTAAATGTATATTTCGAGGTGTTACAAACGGAATGACAAACTTAATATACCCTGCATACTATAAAAATGCCTAATAAAAATGCCAAGGAAATCACTAGCTGTTCTATAATACGCCAAAAATGGCGACATGGCGCCAAGTCAAAAATTAGGTCATCAAACGCATCACAACGTTCGTTGAGAAATCGTGAATTTTGATTCAACTCTAAAACTAGAGCTACCGCTCGAATTCTGGCAAGTTTCTCTTTTTACTCGATTTCGAGCGAGTTTTTCGGAGGTCTGACTAGAACAAAACCAATGTTGACTCAAGTTCTACTAACAAATAGTTTTCACAGCAACATTTTTTCCACAACGACACTGCTACAGAGGTGTTTTTACTACGATAACCGATTTTTCCTTTATGGCATCGGAAAAAAATTGCAAAACTAGTAGATTCTTGTAGGTTCTGGAACAGAGCAATGAATTTCGTATAAAAAACGAAGTTCTCGAATTTTTTTAATTATATGCATCAGAGATTTATAAATTACTTGTAAAAAATTTAAAATTACTTACCAGCAGTCCAACCGCTGCTACACTCCTTGGCGTTATCATGACCAAGGATGATCTTTGTTCGTTTTTAAGGAAATGCCCTTTTGTTCCACTTCTTGATGGTTATCTGCAACAAAAGAATTAACAAAAATGCATATTCAATTCTCATTGCTTGAAAAATTATGTTTGTGTGTGAGTAAAATCCATCAATCACCACCACCACTACCAATACAAAATCCATTCATATCATTTTTATGAATAATTCCCAGCCTATAAAAAGAAATAAGGAACCTACAACATCTTTTGCATATTAATTAATTGAATGTTTTGTTGTATTGACAGTTCTTTTTTGTTGGACATTTGTAATGTTTGTTGTTGTTTTCTTCTTATTTTATAGTTACTCATGCTCATATAATTGTTGTTGTTATTGTTGTATGTGAGCATTTTACTTCACAGTGTGCTCCCTACTTGGGATGACAAATTAGGAAGTAAAAAGTTTTACTTTTGTTCTTGAAAAAATATAATTGAAGATATTGTTAATAATGTGTGTGTGTGTGAGTGTCTCTTTTGGCAATAGACAAAAAAGAGAAAGGGCAAGGGATTTCACTTTTAACTACCAGGGGTTTTTAAATTTAAATTTGAATACAGTGTTTACTTTATTTTATAATGCAACATTTTTGTTTTAATAATATCCCTGTTAGATCAGCACACGTGATCTTCTTGAATGTCACATAGAAAGAGAGAGAGAGGAAGGGAGTATATGAGTTTATTAATGATGACAGCTGTACATAAAATATGATTATAACAAGCATGTTATCGATAACTATCTCTGACAATCTTATCAAAATTGCATACATTTTATTCCAAAATCATAATTTAAAAACAGTCAATACACTTCCCGAATCACAGAAATATATACATAAATAATCAAAATTTGTTGCCTTGTGGTTCCAAATGAAATTTATTCCCAAAACAACGTCCTATATTAGCAATTAAATAGCTGTCAACTATATTTTGAAGTTTAATTAAGGCTTAACTAAATCTAATAAATTCTGAAAGCATTTAACATTTAGCGCATGTCACAAACTCACATACAGACACATATACTAGCACATTTCACCATGATACCCTATAAATCATACAACTTTTCAAAAGCCATTCAACAGATTTATAACATTTTCAAAACAAGCGTTTAATTCAATAAGCAAGCGATATCCCGAGATAAAGATCTTCAAATTGAAAAAATTGTATTAATTAAAATCGAAGAGAAGTTATACAAAGAAATTCACAGATAATAGGTTGGTTCCGTCTTTTTTAAATAAGATGCAGAAAATGATTAAGGAAATTATGGCGGAGGAACAAAGTATTATATCAGGTTTGGACAATAACTTTTCCAGTAAAAATTACTCAGTAACTTGTAAGGAAAGCTATTTCTCTCACAGTTATTGAAAAATGGCATTAAACCACATCCAGCTAAAAATTTCAAAAAAAAAAAAAGTAAATTCGCAAAATTTATTCCTAATACTTTTAAACTGTTAATAAAATCCATGGTAGAACTAAGAAGGTAAAGTCATGCAATCATATGTTTACATTTTTTTACAAAATTATTCTTTTGACAACATCTCATTGTAAAAATATTTATTCACAATTTCATTGTATACATACAAATCAGTAGTGGAATTCTGGAACTCATTTTTTGTGTTACCGACAAAAGTCGGTAAAATTAAAATGCTTGAAATTTCGGTTATTCACGAAATTTGTCGGTAAATTAGCGACGAAATCAAAGCAGTCGGTAAGACTTACCGATAGATACCAATGTTTTCAACTTTAACCTCTCTTTTATATCATAATTTTGAGTTTCAAAGTTACCGATTTTTGTCGGTAACTCAAAAATTAGTTAGAGAATCCCACTACAGAAATGGGAATCCGTTTCTCATTTTAAATAGCTTTACCTTCTTGATTCTACCATGACAAAATCGAATAAAATTTAGAATTTTAATGGCGAAAAAATAGTTATTTGTTGGTATAATACGCTGTTAAATTCTAATTATCTGACAAATTATTAAAATATTTGAAAGACATTTTTGAAAATATACACTTCCGCCACAAACCATCAATGCTATCAATCAGCTGATGTTAGTAGATAATTCTTTTGATTTCCGCGGACTTGTCTAAAAATTGGTATTTGTGGGTCATAATAAGTTCCAGCTCGTATGACGAAACATTGTATGTATCGGTCTACGTTTTGGTATAGGCCTCATATAACGGTACCTTCCGATATCTGATATTTTAATAAAAATTGGTATTTGTAGTTCACAATGGGTTCTAACTCTAGCGACAGAACATTGAATATTTATTTCCACGTTTTCCTACAGAGCACATATAACGATACCCACCTATATTCGGTATTTTGATAATCCTAGTCACATTTACAAGCGAAGTTTTTTCATATTTGGTATTTAAGAAGATGTGGTAGATGACAATTCTTGATGTATAAATTTGTCCATAGAGTTTCCCGTTTTAGTATGGTCCCCATTCAACCGCCTCACTCACTTTATGTTTTTTTGATAAGTTGTACTGCATTATGTAAACGGTTTCACTGGTATATGACGTTTAAAGTGAAATACGCTTAAATACAGATACATTTATATTAAAAATGTTTCCTTTACCCTAAGGTGGAACTTAATGTTTTTTTTTTACATTTAAATTAAAATCAGGATCCAAGAGAAATGCCTGCATATAATCCCTCTAAAAATTCATTAAATGGGCCAAAAGTAAATATTCGATATAGTTTAGTGAAGGGTTCTATTCATAATTTATTGCCGTATGTGTAAATTTGAAAACGAGTATTTGAATGAGTAAACGGGTTTTCTTAATGAAACTGCATCATTACTTTTCTTAATTTTTACACAGAACGTAAAGTATTGCTCGCATTTTAAATGCTAAATGCTTAGATGAACAAAACAGTACGTTTGCGGTGGTCTCAGTCGTTGATTAGACTTCAACGAATGTAGACATGCTTGGGGATACACGCATTGTTGCTCCGTTAACATTAAGAAAACAAATTATAGATAGCTTTTGTAGAAAAATATAAATATATGGAGTTTATATTTAATGTTTTTTGATAATTTTGCTAACATTAAATTAAAATTCTTGCTACAAAACGTCCAAAACAAGAAGGGAGATATTTTTACGTGCTTTTTGGTTTCTCTCACATACACAAGCGCAATGTTCATTTTGTGCATCATAGGCTAAATGAAAAGTATCTATGGAATTTTTGTATATACTCTAGAGCATAGAAGGGCAATCATGCAGGCTAGCGTTGCTGTCTCTTATTATCTGTCATGAGTAAAACATCAACAAACTATTTTTTGGCTTTTTTGATTATATTTTTGCTCAAAAATTACTAAATAAGTTCAAATTCAACGCAGGATAGTTATTCCAATATTCTTTTAGAAAATCTATTTCATTATTTTGCCCATCTTGCCTCTGGAGTGATATAGAGAATCGTATATTCTATCATTTGGGTCCTCCTTATTTGACGACCTTTGCTAAAACAAAAAATATTTGTATTTTCTCAACCCACATCAGCAAACGAACAAAATATTTGTGAGTGTTGTTATTTTTTTGTCTTCTCTTGGTTTTGGTGCGGGATTTAACTCTTTGAGTAATCTCTTATTATAATTTAAGCATTTTAACTCCCACTTCTTTTTCAAAAACAAGTAATTGTAGAGAACTCTTACATAAAACAAGAGAGCGTAAAGTAAACTTTGTGTAAAACACCCTGCCTACCCTAATTTCAAGATGCAATTAGTCAGTCACGATAAATTATTATCAAATTTCTGAAATAAGTCTTTGCCTAAAGATTAAGTGTTTCTTTCAATTCTTCAAATTCAAATTCTTTTGGATTATCCATTATTCTTTAGATTATTTGTACGATCGTACAATACACCCACTAAGTTTCAGTTCTAGCCTGAGACCAGTTTTATTAATTTAATTATTATTATACACTCAACCACAGCATGGAGGGTATATTAAGTTTGTCATTCCGTTTGTAACACCCCGAAATATACATTTTATATATATATATATATATATATATATATATATATATATATATATATATATATATATATATATATATATATATATACATATATACATATATTCTTGTTCAGCATAAAATTCTATGTCGATTAAGCGATGTCCGTCCTTCTATCCGTCTGTGGAAATCACTCTAGCATCCGAAGGAAAGGTAGTAGGTTGATAAAATTTTACTCAAATGTGTATTATGTCTGCAGATCATTTGGTATTGAAAATGGGTGATGTAGGTCCAAGTTTTCGTATAGCCCCCATATAACGCTACCCCCGATAATCGGTATTTTGATGATTTTAGCGACATTATTCACCAGAATTATTTTGTATTTGAAGTTCGTAACGGATGCTACAGCCTATGACAGAAAATTGCCAGTGCAAGTCTACGTCTTCATATAGCCCCCATATAACGGTACCTCCCGAAATACAGTATTTTGATGATTTTAGTGACATTATTCACCGGAATTCTTTAAAATTTGGTGTTTTAAGTTCGTAATGGATGCTACAGCATGTGACATAAAATTGTCTGTGCAGATCTTCGTCTTCGTATAAACCCCATATAACGGTACCTTCCTATATTTGGAATTTTGATGATTTTAGCACCATTATTCGCCGAATTTTTTATTCAAGTTTCCCATTTGAATATTGTAATGGTTTATGACAAAAGTTGCCTTTGCGGGTCCATGTCGTCGCATAGACCGTAATATATCGGTTACCTTTGGTATTTTTAAGATTTTAACAGAATCTTAACTAACGTAAGTTTAATGGCTTAGCCCTAACTATTCTATAGCTAAACACACACTTATGCAACGTCTACTTTACGTTAACAAAAAGGTGCCAAAACATATTTGCGGACACGTAAAGAGAAAGAGCGGTTTGTTCCCAATGTGTGACACCTATAGCCTTGCAAATAGATTAGTTCTTAGCATTAAGGTTTCATATGTGGTGTATAAGTTTACTTGTAATTGTAATAAATAAACCGTTACAGTCGTGTTTCAATTTGAATTATCTGCATAGTTTCAATACTCCTGT